CCTGCTCTATCCCATGCATAATCTTATAAACCTCAATCATGTCACCCCTCACCTGCCGTTTCTCCAGGCTAAAGAGCCCCAAGCGCTTCAACCTTTCTTCATAGGGAAAGTGTTCCAACGCTTTGATCATTCTAGTTGCCCTTTTCTGCACTTTTCCCAATGCTATAATATCCTTTTTGAGGTGTGGTGACCAGAACTGTACACAGTACTCCAAATGACGTTGCACCATCGATTTGTACATGGGCAATTATGATAACTGGCTGATCTGTTTTCAAAAGTGATCGGAAAAGTGATCTGTGAACATCTGAGGCTGTTTTGTTTTATTTCTTATGCAAGGGAAAAGCAGGCTTCTGGTATATTTTCTTAATTGTGCTCTGCCCACCAGGCATTTGGCTGTAGCCCTGAAGTGTTCCGGGACTGTGGGTCACTGGCAGGCTGTGGGTCACTGGCAGAGCATCTTCTTGGCACACAGAAGGTCCCGGGTTCAGTCCCTGGCATCTTCAGTTAAAAAGTCCCGGGTTCAATCCTTAGAGGCATCTCCAGTTAAAAGGATCAGATTGTGGATGGTCTGAAGGACCCCTGCCCGAGACCCCGGAGAGCCGCTGCCAGTCTGAGCAGACAAAACTGACCTTGGCAGGCAGATAGTCTGACTCCATGGAAGGCCGCTTAAAGTTGATGCACAAGTCCGTGCCTGTGTGCTCCCGGGGCCGAATTGGTAACACGCAGAGTCCGGCGAGTTAGATAAGTCTGCCATAATTATTGCAATGAAACAGGAGATACAGGGCTGTGTACCTTTTTGGTCCCCAGCGAAGCCAGGTTGTATCCTGCCATAATCATTTACACTTTACAGAATTCCTAATTGGCACCAGGCAGGTGGCATCGCTAGAGCGTCATTTGACTCGACACCTCCCAATTGGCATTCTTTTCTGCTGGTCGGGGGTGTCAGTAATTACATTAGCTTATTAGTTGCTGTAGATTTTCCGGGTTGTGTGGCCGTGGTCACACAAGACCACGGCCACACAACCTGGGAAATTTACAGCAACGAATGAACTCCGGCCGTGAAAGCCTTCGACAATACCTTAGCTTACTCTAGCTTATCTGGTCCTCCGAACATTGCAAAACATTAAGGAACACTGGGATCCTTTCTGGCCCCAGCGAGGCTAACCTCCCTCCGCCTCGCTTTGGGGAGCTGGCTGATAAGGTGCCAATGATTTACATTAATTTTGGGTCTTGGCAGGCTTCCTGGCACCAGGGGCTCCTGCTATACAAAGAGAATATTTTGTTTAGGGAACACTTCCAGTGCTAAGTGTCCTTGTAACTTCTAGATATGCATTCCGTTCTACTGCTGTCTAATTCCGTATTGCCACCGTTGGTGGTGGTGGTGGCAGCAGCGGCCCCTATATGAAAGCCTGGCGGAAGAGCTCCGTCTTACAGGCCCTGTGGAACTACAATACATTAGCTTACTTTACAGGCCCTGCGGAACTACAATACATTAGCTTACTCTAGCTTATCTGGTCCTCCGAACAATGCAAAACACTAAGGAACACTGGGATCCTTTATGACCCCAGCGAGGCTAACTTCCCTCCGCCTCGCTTTGGGGAGCTGGCTGATAAGGTGCCAATGATTTACATTAATTTTGGGTCTTTGCAGGCCTCCTGGCACCAGGGGCTCCTGCTATACAAAGAGAATATTTTGTTTAGGGAACACTTCCAGTGCTAAGTGTCCTTGTAACTTCTAGATATGCATTCCGTTCTACTGCTGTCTAATTCCGTCTAAGAGGCCTCTAATAATACTTCTTTCCAAATATAACTTCTTATAAAGGAGATACAGTTAGAGAATATATATATTCTACTGTAGATTTCTCTCATCAAAAGTTTCTAGGTTACATACCAAGATCTGAATCTACTATGATTAAACTTTTAATGGCACAGTGACAGCTGTCAATATCTATGTCAGAGAAAATGTCAAAAATCACATCCAGAAATCACATCCACGTGGTCCCTTGTCCTACAAAGTGAAGTTCAGTTGCGGAGCCTGCAGTTCGGGCAGCCTTAGAATTCTGTGCTGGGATCTGTGCAAATCAGAGTTTTGGTCGCAGCGCTTGAGAATCCTTCTCTGCGTTCCTTCTGCCTTTCATAGTCCCTCTGCGAACTTGGGACCCAAAGAAGAGAGCGACTTCAAATGGCTTTCTTTCTTTCTGATTAATATTTTATTAATTTTTAACAATTTTCAATACAAACATTGCACTGTAATTTCAGACAGTAAAATACAAGTTGTCAGCAAAATCAAGGAAGTATAGTTATCATATCTCCCAATATTATAAGTTGCACTCTCCAGAACACTCCGCCACGCTCCGGAATTGGTTGGCGCCCTGGAGTGTCACTCACAGGGCATCTGTCTCCACTGGCTGCGTTGCTGTCTCCCTTGCCGTGGTCCCGCCCACAGAGGCGGCACCTGGCATCTCGACCTCACTCTCCTTGCAGTGGGTGGACGAGACAGATGCTCTGGCGGCTGGGGACCGGAGCCCGATCGTGCCACCGCTGCGGGAGCCGCCCGGGTGGGGAAAGGCCTCCGGAGGCCCCTGTGCCACCTCTCCCCACTCACCCACCGAGCCGCCCGGGCAGAGAAAGGCCTCCGGAAGCCCCCGCCTGGGGGAGCGGTCAAAGCCTGGCGCCCTGGCCCACTGGGGCCTCTGCCGGCAGTGGGGTTCGGGGAGGGGCCACGCCCAGGCGGCCTGGCCCCCCAGGGTCTCGAGCGGTTGGAGGGAAGACACGAGGGGAGCCGCCGCTGGCTGGCCTGCCTAGCGCTCGTTGTCTTTATTGCCACAACGGGCCTTCTTCCTAGTTTAAACATAACTGCAGGGACGTTTAATCAATTTGTATAGCTTGTCTAATCAAAACTCTACATCTTTACCCTAATACGAGTCAAAAGCTGAGGTCATCAAGCAGCTGTGGAATTTCACTCCATGATTTAAGGTATTCTAGTATAGGTAGCCAGATTGTGGAGAAATTGGATTGTGTAGAAGATTGAGAGAGATGTGCCAGATTGTCTGTTACTTTTGCAATGACATACAGATTCCATATCTTTTGGTGCCGTTGTGCGACAGTAGGAGATTTTGGAACTTCCAATTCAATGCTATGGTATTTCGGGCAGCATATATCAGTAAGGAAACTCTTTCTTTGGTAGATTATCAACCGACTATACTTACTGGGACTTGTGTAAACGCTCCAGGACTAAGGCAGGACAAATTCGGCACATAAAAGGACCCAGAGAAGGTTTGCGGCTGTTCGCCAGCCGATCTTTGGCATGCTGATGCGTGTGCTTGAGACAGTACGGAAACCTAAACTGAGCGTCTTGTCTGACCCAGTGTGGGAAGTTTCTACCAATGACATTGCATGGATGTTGAGAGGATGCTGTATCATATTGTAGACTTGTTCCCTCCGATGCTGGAATCGCCACTCATGGGTTTCCCCCCGTCTTTCTCTTTCCTAGTTACGAACGAAACTCTCCTCTCACGAGATCCAGCAGTTTGCCATGCTTTTGCACGAGTACCGCAACGGGGCCTCCATCCAAGAGTTCTGCATCAGCCTGCGACAGCTCTACGGGGACAGCAGGAAATTCCTTCTTCTGGGTGACCCCCCCCCCCCCCCGGAAGTTTAGCTAGCCGAAAGTTAATCCCAGAAGGCTGCCGGTGTTGATATTTACTGTGAGTTGGATCGTGGAGACCCATTTGGTATCAGGGGAAGTCTCCTCGGTGCTTGGGAAAGTTCTGCTATTAGTGGAAGAGAGCCAGTTTGGTGTAGTGGTTAGCGGCGCAGACTCTAATCCAAGAGAACCGGGTTTGATTCCCCACTCCTCCACTTGCACCTGCTGGATGACCTTGGGTCAGTCATAAGTTCTTTCAGAGCTGTTCTCTCAAGGGCAGTTCTTAAAAGAGCTCTCTCAGTCCCACCTACTTCACTGGGTGTCTGTTGTAGGGAGGGGAAGGGAAAGGAGATTCTAAGCCGCTCTGGGACTCCAAGTGAAGGGCAGGGTATAAATCCAATCTCTTCTTCTTCTTCTTCTCCAAATAAACAAAACTTTTTTGAAAGACAGAAGATCAATGGAGCAGCTGCCGTCCAGGCATAGTAAGAGCGAGGGAAGTTGAGTGTGAATCTTGCAGAATGGGGGGTCGAGGGTGGGGTATCAGCTCGGGCTTGCTCATTCTTTTTGGATGCTCTGGATCAGTGATGGCGAACCTTTCAGAGACCGAGTGCCCAAACTGCGACCCAAAACCCACTTATTTATCACAAAGTCCCAACACGGCAATCTAACCTGAATGAATACTGAGGTTTTACTTTAGAAAAAACAACTCCTTCATTAACTTAAGATGATCCAAACAAAGTAAGGAAAACAATCCCAAATGCTTTCATTGACTTAAAATTATTTGGCAGAGAATTCCACACTTTAATGATGGTCTGGGCCTGGCTGGGGCGATGGCACGCGTGCCCACAGAGAGGGCTCTGAGTGCTGCCTCTGGCACCCATGCCATAGGTTCGCCACCACTGCTCTGGATAATAGCTAGACCCGTTGTCGGGAAGGCAGCTGCCGCCCTCCCTGTTAAAAGAAATCCATTTGGCACTAAAAACCAAAAACACCCCAATTCGAGCAAGTTGTGTTTTGTCGTGGCTCCCTCTAGTGGCTCAGTCAGTGCAACTTTTGGAAGTAATGAGACACAGGTGCAGTGATCCTCGCTTCAAGGTGGACAGGCTTTTTGGCCTGCGGGCCACATCTGGGTCTCCTTCACCCATTTTAAGATCCTCTCCTCAGGTTGTTTGCTTCTTGAAGTTGGCCGTGGAAGCCAGAAGAGCGCACACAGAGCCCCGCTGGGTCAGACCGGTGAGGGTCCGCCTAACCTGGCATCCCATCTCACACCATAGCCAAGCATGTCCCCTGGATTTGCTGATAGTAGCAGCAGCCAAAATAGTCATCGCGCAAACCTGGAAATCTTCAACTCCCCCTACAGTCCAAATGGGTCAACACAAGGTGTGGGTTCTTATTAGAGAAAATTCATATGACCCCCAGTAAAGACTGCGACACCGATGAGTTAGCCAGCCCTCTGGATATTTGGCTCCCTGTCTTAGACACAGTCTAGACTATAGTAAAATGGATTTAGGACGTGCCAATGTCGTTAAATTTAATCTCCTGACACATGGCTAAGATTAATCCCTAGTAATGTGAAAGTCAAAGGTGTTTTTTTTAGTAATATGGTGCCCAATACAGACAGGGGACAGAAGCTAGTCAGGATCAAAACAGTGTTTCCAGAAATGGTTCTGCCATCTCAGAGCTAGAACTGGAAACATACATGTGTCTGTCCCGGTGAATTTCACAGTGGCGCCCGGCCGAATCCTGGCCCGGATGGCCCAGGCCAATCTCATCAGATCTCTGAACATCAGATCAGATCAGAACATCAGATAAGCCTAGATGTTGACAGACAGGGGACAGAAGCTAGTCAGGATCAAAACAGTGTTTCCAGAAATGGTTCTGCCGTCTCAGAGCTAGAACTGGAAACATACATGTGTCTGTCCCGGTGAATTTCACAGTGGCGCCTGGCCGAATCCTGACCCGAATGGCCCAGGCCAGCCCAATCTCTTCGGATCTCAGAACATCAGATCAGAACAGAACATCAGATAAGCCTAGATGTTCAAGCTTACATGATAAAATTCCAGTGCACAGAGGTTGTGTTAGTCGATGAGTAAGATGCTGTGTTGATGTTTTAAAATCCACCCTTTTAATTCCCTCTTGTAACCTACTGAAATTATATTCTTTGGTTTACTTCTTACTGAAGAAGATGAAGAAATTGGATTTATACCCCCTGCCCTTCACTACCCAAAGGTGTCTCAGAGCAGCTTACAAACTCCTTTCCCTTCCCCTCCCCACAACAGACACCCTGTGAGCAATGTTCCCTCTAAGTTGTGGAGTCTTGTGAGTAAAAATTCTACTTTGTGAGCTACTGGCATTAAAGTTGTGAGCGAGCAATTTGGCTGCTGCATCAATTAGTTTGCTCTGGAGCCCCACCCTTCCTGAGCTAAGACAAAAATGCTGTGAGTTGGAGGCTAAAAAACTGTGAGCTGGCTCACACTAACTCAGCTTAGAGGGAACACTGCCTGTGAGGTGGGTGGGGCTGAGAGAGCTCTTGACAGAAACTGCCGTTTTTCAAGAACAGCTCTTATCAGAACTACGGCTTGCCCAAGGTCATCCAGCCAGGTGCGAGTGGAGAAGTGGGGAATCAAACCCGGCTCTCCCAGATTAGAGTCCGCTCACTGAACCACGACACCAAACTGGCTATTAAATACAATAAAGTGTTATTAAAAAAAAAAGCAGGTCCCCTGGAGCATCGACAGACAGGGGACAGAAGCTAGTCAGGATCAAAACAGTGTTTCCAGGAATGGTTCTGCTGTCTCAGAGCTAGAACTGGAAACATACATGTGTCTGTCCCGGTGAATTTCACAGTGGCGCCCGGCCGAATCCTGACCCGAATGGCCCAGGCTAGCCCAATCTCATCGGATCTCAGAAGCGAAGCAGAGTCGGCCCTGGTTAGGCCAGCCACCTCTGTTCCTCACTCGCCTCGAGAACCCTGCATAAGCCGGCGGCTACTTGTTGGCACCTTCCGCCATGACCACGTTGCAAACGTCCCTATCGCTTCTCTCCGTGAGATAAAAATTTAGTTCTTATCCAGTGCCACTGCCGTTTGAAAAAGAGAGTCCGGCCTTCCCCGGTGCTCCTAGAGTCAGCGTTTGGAACAGCAAAACTAGATTCAGAAATTCTCCCCTGTTCCCCCCTCCCCCCCGGAGATGAAACAGCAGCCATTTTCTGGCAAGCCCAGTAACTCCTGGATTCAAACGCAGATCCTTTTCGGTGAACCAAAGTCAAATAGAACTTCACATCAACAAGACGTACCAGCTCTTGCTGTAGCAAATGGTTTCCACGGGATGTATTAAATACAATTCCCTATTGGCTGCGGATTTAGAAGAAGAAGGGAAGAGATTGGATTTATACCCTGCCCTTCCCCTCCCCACAACAGACACCCTGTGAGGTAGGTGTAGTGGGTTAAGTGCACGGACTCTAATCTGGGAGAACCGGATTTGATTCCCCACTCCTCCACTTGTAGCTGCTGGATGACCTTGGACAAGCCATAGCTCTGATAAGAGCTGTTCTTGAAAAAGAGCCATTTCTGTCAGAGCTCTGTCAGCCCCACCTACCTCACAGGGTGTCTGTTGGGTGGAGGGGAAGGGGAAGGAGTTTGTAAGCTGCTCTGAGACACCTCTGGGTAGTGAAGGGCGGGGCATAAATTTTTGGTGTGGTGGTTAAGTGTGCGGACTCTAATCTGGGAGAACCGGGTTTGATTCCCCACTCCTCCACTTGCACCTGGCTAGATGGCCTTGGGCAAGCCCTAGTTCTGATAAGAGCTGTCCTTGAAAAAGAGCAGTCTCTGTCAGAGCTCTCTCAGCCCCCGCCTACCTCCCAGGGTGTCTGTAGTGGGGAGGGGAAGGGAAAGGAGTTTGTGAGTCGCTCTGAGACACCTGTGGGTAGTGAAGGGCGGGGGGTGTAAATCCAATCTCTTCCTCTTCTTCTTCTTCTCTGGGAGAACCGGGCTTGATCCCCCACGCCTCCACATGCAGCTGCCGGTGTGACCTTGGATCAGCCACAAGTTCTCTCGGAGCTGTTCTCTTTCCTCTTCCTCCCCCCTCCCCCTCCCTCTTCATGTTTTGCCTCTTTCTCTCCCGCGCCTCCCTTCCCCAAAGGCCTTAGACCCTTCATTCCCGAGAAGGACAGCCAGTACTTTGAGAACTTCCTAGAGACACTTGGCGTGAAGGACGGGCGAGGCATCATCACCGACAGCTTCGGGAGGTACCGGCGGACGGTGAGCTCCGCTTCCAACTCCACGACCAACGGCAACGGAGCCACCGGGAGCTCGGACGACCAGTCAGCTCCCTCGGAGGGAGACGAGTGGGACCGCATGATCTCGGACATCAGCAACGACATCGAGGCCCTCGGCTGCAGCATGGACCACGACTCCTCCTGAGATCCCGAGGTCAGGAGGGGGCGGCGGCAGCTTCCGCGCACGGCCACACACCCACGAGGCACGGGGGCCCTCCGCGGCCCTCCCTGACGCACACAGACACACACGCACACCTCGAGGGAAGAACTCCCCGGTTTGTTTCTGGGGAAAGCGGAAGGTGAAACCCCATACGGCTCCCTTCCCCCCCTTTGCCAGTGGCTCCGTTTGGTATCCACCCCGTGCTCACGGCCGACGGTCTCTTCTGTGAAGGTGCGAAAAGCGAGCGAGCCGCGGAAAGGGGAGTGGGCTCGGCGCGGGGAGGGCGAAGCTCCGCAGCTCTTCCCGGTGTGTCCCCCCCCTTCTCCCCCGAGCCTGAACGGTCAGAGGAGCAGGGCGGTCCGAGAGGAGGCACTCGGGCGAGCCGAGGACCTGCCGGCCACCGGGGCGCCCTCAGCCGGCCGGTGGCGTTGCACACAACATTTCTATTTTTTTTTAATGAAGTTTTAACCGCAATGTGAATAACTTAATATTCCAGGTGTTGGTCAGGAAGGCGTTTCTGATTTGGACCAGAACGTGGCCTTGGTGTCGTCCTGCTGAGGCGGTGCCGTCCCATGGCAAAGGCCTCAGCGGACGCAGATCTCCCCCCCCCGGCCCCAGGGGTACCCCTCGCCAACCGCTCCGTGGCGTCGGGGTCGGCTGTGTGACTTCGACCGGCTGAGTCCCGTCGGCCTGGCAGCAGCGCATTTGCCTTCGGTGCTTGTTGCTGGGGTTGGGACAGCGCCACTTGCTCGAAAGGAGGCCCTGCGAGTGAGAACTGCAGCAGGCAGGCCCTGCTTTCCTCAGCTAGGCGGTCTGTCTCTGAGCAGGCTTCCAGCTGCAGGCCGGGCCTGACTCGGTGGGAGCCTCCCCTTATCCCGGTCCTAAGTACGTGGATACCTTTTGCTTTACGCAGAGCGTCGCTTCCCACGGAGGTCAGCAGTGCTGCCATTGCTGCTTAGGGCGTTGAGGGTCTGCTCTTGTAGAGGTCTCGGGCACTGGTTCTGGGGGGAGAGGGGCTTTGGGGCTCCAGGCAGTCCCCGCAAAGGATCGCTGCCCAGGAGGTCCCTGTCCCAGTTTGCAGCATTTGATAAACGTTTGTTTTTTTTCTTCCCTTTTGCGGGGGACAGTCGGTCACTTGGCCCTTTGAGGTCCTCCAGGAGTTTTTGTATGAATCCGTTCAGTTGCTGTCAGGACACGGGGATAGCAAACCGAAGCGTGGAATAGATTTGGGGGGGGGGGTTGTTTCCTTTTTTGTTCGTTTTTTTCTTTTCCTAAAAGAAACAAGATGTGGAAGAACTATATACATAATGTATATGTGCTGTATATATATTATACCTATAAAGGCACCCCGATTTTTGTATGTGTGTTTCATGCCATAAGAATTCCAGGGGGCCAGAAGAGGAGAAACTGTCCTCTGTATTTTTTTCCCAGTGGGGGAGCGAGTGGTTTTTGTAATGCAAAATGATTGGGGGGGGGGGGGTTCCTACAAGGAAGTTGAAATCAAGCGCTACACTTATGGAACAAGACCATTCAATCACAGTATATTCTTTCAGCAAAACAGTTACATACATATAATTACAAAATGTACAAAAAGAGGTCCTTTTTATAAAATATTTATTTTAAACATAGGACATGCAAAAACATACGGAACATAAGTAACATAAATACGGTGGGGGGGAATTAAATTCAGTACTTTCTGAAAAGAAAGAAAATCGTTTTGCCTTATTTACATTTTCCCTTGCTTACTATAGAACCGTTTCGTTTTTCTATAGTTTCTTTTTTACAGGATTATTTAATTATAAAATGGGGGGGATGAGATTCTTATTATATTTCCTCAAAATCCTAAATATTTGTAGTTATTAACCCATCGTGGTTTTCAGTCCAAGTATAAAATCTTAGCCAAACTTTTTCAAATTGATCTTCTGTTTGGTTTTTCAGATAGTAAGTCAGTTTATTGAATTCTGCTGCTTCCAATATTTTATTGATAATTTCAGTTCTGGATGGAGTTTCTGTTTTCTTCCAATATTTAGCGAACAAAATTCTGGCAGATATGACCACATGCAAGATGACATGTAAATCATTTTTTCTTACATTGTTCAGGTATAATACTTGACAAGAATACTTCCGGAGTAAAAGGGATAGAGATTTTTAAAGCTTTTTGTATAACTTCATGCAGCCATATCCAGTATGACCTAATTTTTCCACATTTCCACCACATGTGATTAAAAGTCCCTGTTTTGCTCTGGTCCTTGAAAGCAATCGTCGATGAAGCTCTCCGGAATGTAAGTTCGTTTCGTTAGCACTTCATCCGAACGGGACCATTATACCGTGGTGTCTTCTATTCCTTAAATATTGTTGAATGTTTGAACACGTACCATAGTTTTCTGTACAGCAATACCTCCTTACAGCAATTACCTATTAGTCATACTAGGACATATTCCATTCAGTAATATTACTAGTACATATTCTGGATTGCCCGCGTCGTCAACGATTGCCTTCAAGGACCTCTTTTTGTACACTTTCTAGTTATATACAGGGGTCATTTTGTAGAAAAAGAGGTACAGGAGCTCATTAGCATAACTTATTAGCATAACCTATTTGCATATGCCACACCCCCTGACATCAACGGAAGTGTGTCAGAAGGCAACACCCACCGCTCAGGCTCCACTGGACTGTTTTGGATTGCTAGCTATTGGGGGGGGGACGTGCAGATCTGTCCTCACAGAGAAGGGAGAGCTTGTACCTGAATAAAACTTGGTCTTAAAGGTGCCACTG